CGCCCCGGCACGTGGAGAGGGGCAGCTGCGGCAGGGTGGCAAGTGCCGTCGGCTGAAGGTGGTGGGGATACTAGCTCTCGATGCCAGCTTCCCGAGCAGCAACGTCTGTGTAACAGCCTGGGAGAGGGGGCACAAGCAGTCTGGGTAACTTCACACCCCTGGCATGGTTAGACGCGTACAGAATCAAATGGGAATTGGTTCCAGGTGGCTGCTACGGGAGTCTGTTGTAGCAGTTTCGACTACTTGTAACGTTTGGAATCTCTGTGGAGATGCTTAAAACTTGCCTGTACAAGGCACAGAGCACCCAGATCTCACTTTGCTGTTGGGCTTGTTCTGAGAAGGTCAGACAGAGGTGTCTCAGTCTAAATGCTCCCAGGAGTGTACTCACAGTCTACAGGCCGGGTCTTTTCGACTTGCTCCCCTTTGCTAGGCAAGATAGGGGATGTCAAATACCATCCCCTTTGCACACAATTTGATATTTCTGTGTGTTAGTCACTGTCATTTCTCCCAAACTGTGGAAGCTGATGTGCTGAAACAGGATTCTTGTCCTGGTGGACTGAAGGGTGCTAAAGGACGGAGTAATGGCTGTAGGGGTCAGCTGACCACCAGGGTGCAGACCAGCTATTCTTTCAGGAGGACATATTTTCAATGTTGTATTTGATTTGCACAACAGGAACTTGGTCTCTGAATGGGGCAGCTGCATACTACTGCAGTAGAAATAGTGAAATAGCAGGAGGTTAAAGCCTTTATCACAATCCTAGGTATAAAATTACGGAAGGACAAGACTCAGCTAACAGTCACTGTGAAAAGATTTGTGAAGAAGCTTGAGAATATTTCGGACAATGAAGCTCAGGAGATCCTGGAAGAGAAGAACTATGTCGCTGCTCTTGGAGTATGTGCCCAAGGTATTAGCGGGAGAAAACCTAACACAGCTGTGACTTTAGGGCATTCTTGCAGTGTCAGTGTTGTACAATGTTGATGAAATTGCTTTTGAGAGCTGACCAGCTCTGGCTGTGCTTGTGCTAACAGCTGAAGGAGAGGATAATGGTTCTAGGATTTTATTATGATATTTATGTCATAACACCAGCAATGTAGCGAGTCCTTTGAGCCAAATAGTAAAATGTTGCATTCCGTCTTCCTTGGACTGGGAATATACCAATGCTTTTTAAATAGCTACAAGTAACATTTCTTTTCACAGATCCAATGGGAAATGGCTCAAGTGTAAGTGGTGGTGAAGTTTACTCATTCCAGACTCCCAAGCGCTCCACCAAAATGGCAGAGCTGGGTACATTTTCCTTTTTCTTCTTTCATTCTTGGTCCAGTTATGGTCTTTTTTTAGAGTAGCCTGTTAATGTGATTTTTCACTTCTGTTTATTCAATACGTCTATTTGAGAATTTCAGTAGCTTTTATGTGGCTCTGAATCGAGTTTCCTCAGAAGCAAAAGCACAGGACTAGGACAAAGCAGAGGAGTGGTGGGGATAAGAAATACAGATAATAAAAAATATCAGAAAGTAGATGTTTCGTAATGCCGAGATAAAGTCTGCATGTAAGTGCTAAAGGATGGCAGGGGTTTTATTTGTGTAGCTTAGAAGGATATGAGAATAACTCATGTAGCAAAGTGTCAAAAAAAAAAAAGGCAGTATCAGCTTTGTGTGTCAGGGGATTTCTCCTACTCAGTGTCCCTTGCTAGGCTAACTGTGGACTTAGGAGAAGCAAGCAGAAAGGGGCAGTTCTGCAGAGCGTGGGCTGTTCTGGTTCAAATAGAATGCTTGAGCCCAACTGCCACTACTTTTCTTCTCACTTAAAGAGTCTTTATGTGCCCAGCACTGTCTGAACTTCATTAGCGTTTAGCTGTCATAGCTACTGATACATCCTACAAAGGATGATCCAAGTGAGAGGGGTCATTCTTCTGTATCACTGCACAGAAACTGGTTTCCGTACCTCTTTACCTCTCTGCTGGGCTTCTGCTGTGTCTTGGGAAGTTGTGTATTTCTTACACCTGCTTCTGTGGCGGGGTAGGTTTCACTGGTGCTCCTTCCTAGTGCCATGACAGCTTGGAAACTGAGGCAGGTCACAGAATGGAAGGCTGGTTTTCCTGAGGGACTGTTAGCACGATATGGGGGCCTTCCATGTACAGATCAGTGACTCAACTTCAGCTTGTGGTGATAAGCAGTAGAAAGAAGTAAATAGAATACAAGAACCCACCTCCTTGGGGAACTGAAGTGTTTGCTATACCTGATGCTCTACCATGTCCAGTTGAGCGGTTTTAAAGGATTAGGTGAACTTGACCAAACATTGCTCTGATTCGAAGACATGTGGTCTCCCAGGTCTGCCATTGCCTCAGCTGTAAAATTGAGAAATTAATTAACTGAGAAGTTTGGTCTTTTAAAATCTTTGTTAAGGATTACATTCACCATTAGGGTTAGGCAAAATTGAAGTATTTGGTGCGCTTCCTGAAATAGCTAGGAAATTAATACTTAGAAAGTGTTTCAGGTGTATGGCTCCATGGCTGACCGGTCAGAGCTGGGAGTTTTGTACCTGACGTGAGAAACTTCTTCCCTTCCCCCGTATTTCTTACAGCCTCTGAATTAGCCCAGACACCAGGACAGAGTGTTGCACCTGATCACTCCGAGTGCCCTGAGAAGACAGCCAAAACCCCTCAAAGCAGCAGTAAGACCTGTGATGCTTTGGGGAACTGAAGCTGAGGGAGTGGGGGTTATGTTTCTATTTGGGTGGTGGAGTGGATGCTTGAGTGCCAGCTTCTGTCATGCCTGAGTAATTCAAGTCAGCTTAACATTGTAGACTGAACTGCTTGGTATGCACAGCCTCTGGTTCACCTGGGTGTTAGGTCTTTTGTTCTGCCATGCTGGTGTAGAGAAAACAGTAACTTCGCTCTCATCTGTTGCTGTGACATTTAATGATTTCCTTTGTGTTCAAAAGAAATGCTTGCACTTGAGAGAATTATGAGCTGCACTCATATGTTGAGCATCAAATGGGCAGGATTGTGTGGTTGTTCAGGTGTAAATTCACGCTTTATTATATAATATTCAAGCACCCAATGCTCTAGTGAGAAATACAGGTGGGAGAAGTCAGTGCAGGTCAACACTGGCAAAAGCATGTTACTTTGTGCTCAGAAGTGGAGCCTGATGTGCTCAGGGAGAGGACATTAGCTGATTTTTCAGCCTTTTCCCAAAGATAGCCTCCCAAAGCTGTGACCAGAATTAAAAGCTGCCTTCTGCAGTTTAACACTGACTGCCTTTGGCCTCTCCTTGCCTACCTGTGAGGAACTAGAGGCTTCCCTCATAGGATTAACCACACAGGAAGCTGATATTCTGGTGCAGTGTACCTTTGAATAGTGAATGTCTATTTTTCTAATGGACTGTCTTGTGCCACTGTTGAAAATATGCAGTACTCTGATCAATGCTGTTTCTTGCTTTGCAGAAAGTTCAAGTTCAAACAAAGTGCAGCAGAGGGTGAGTCATAACCCTGCCTTGATTGTGGGTTTCTTTTTGTGTGTGTTTTTTTTTCCCATGTTTAAAAACTTGAACTGGCCAATTGCTACAGTTCTGGATAGGAAGGACCTTGAAAAGCTGCGTGCACTGGACAGATGTCTCTCCTAATCCAACTGGGCAGGAGTAACTCAAGTGAGAACCAGAGCTACAATTAATCACAACTATGGAATTTTGAGTCAGTGGGCAAACAGTGGGTTTCACAGCCTAATTAGCATTAGGTAGAGACTATTTCCTTGCATCACACAAACGAGGATGTTAGTCCCTTAATATGCAGTTAAACTCATGGCTTTCCAGTTTCTCATCAAAGGAAGAAACAGCCTTAATTGTAAGGAGTGTTGTTAGAACAGGAATTCAAGAACTGTGGTGCTATTCAGTTACTTACTTTAGCATTGGTTTATAAAAAGTAAATTGGATAATGGGCAACATGTAAGTTGATGTCATCTTTTGTGATGCTATAGAGAGACACAGTCCAGAACTGCCAGTTGTGGTGGTTATAGAGTGCTGTGAAACAGTTGGCTTTGTAAAGTGGTATAGCATCACACTAGAAATGTGTGCACAGCTTTTCTGGTATAAGGTTCCAGGATGAGATATGTCTGTAAGAGATGCTATTTTGGATGCCGTGTTGATGATTTCACATCCACTGTGACAGGATTATCAAGCGTGTTTCCTAAGTATTACAGACTTGATCTGGTGTCCTCGTCAGGCATGTGCTTTACAGGTGAGTAAGGAAGACGTGCCACTACAACCTGATGAGCCCAGGAAGCTTGGGTTCCCTTTGCTGTACTTCTTCTGGGCTTAGTATTCCAAGTCTTTTGTCATTCTGGTGGTAGTTCTCATAGTGGACTTCCAAATGACTTTGAGTAGAAAGTGTGACGTGGAACATGACTGCTGTGGGGAGCCAAAGCACTTCCACTTTGTCATTGCTTCAGTTTGACTCTTCCTGAGGTGACAAGGTTGCCATCTTGGTTGGAGATTTCACAGTTTTCTACCCTCCATCTCAGGACATCATTAGTTGAAAGAATGAAGCCCCTTTTGGAACCTGATCCTGCTCCCCTCTAGCTCTGAATGGCAAAACAAGAACTCTCCATGCTTACTGCCTTCACTTTCCCAGTTTCTCATGGGCTCAAATAGCTTGGAAATGTAGCCTGATTCTACTCTTTACTTGGCAGAGTGCTGTTTTGAGGATGTATATGTTTCTTCTTCTAATGCATGTTTTTTCTTTGCTGTTACAGAGTAAAAAGAAAGAATTTGTGTCTACCACACCTTACAGACTCAGAAAGAGGCTAGCAGGTAAATATCAACCTTTGCAGTCAGCTCCCACAGTCAGTGAGGCACTGTGTCCAGAGGAGAGTGTTTCTCTTTGCTGCTACAGGCAGAAGCCTACCATCTGATTCATCCTGCAGAGAGTGTAGAAATGTCCAGGGTTGGAAGCACCGAGTTGCTGAACATGATCAGTAACTTGATCAAGAGACAAAACTCCTAGTAATCTAACCTATGCTGACACTGAAGTCTGGCACAATTGCTTGAACCAAGTCATAAAACTTTTTGATGATGGCTGGGATGTTCATGGTAAAGGATTTCCAATAGCTGGTTGGCTATGTGTGCCCAGAATGAATGCAGAGGAGAGTTTAGTGTATGGCATTTCATGTTCTATTTCTTCTTTTGTGTTGGGAGACCAAGACTCAGCCAGATTCCATCTGTGCTCTTCAATCAACATTGGTGACAGAGGTCTTCTACAAAACCTTTTTTGCAGAATGTGACCCAGAAGATAGTCAGCTTGCATGACTGGCATTTGGGAAAACATACATATAGATGCTAAGAGAGATAGGGAATTCCATTGTCCATTTTTAGTTACTTTTTATGGTGGGATTATGTTTCTTAGTTGGTATCAAGGAGCAAGCTTTACTAAACAATAATTTGTGAGCCTAGAACTGGGAAAGAAACGGCTGTGTGTGTATGCAGTCCTCTAAGCATTAATTTTACTTTTCTGTGAAATATATTTAGGAATTATATGCTTAAAAAACATTAGAGAATGTATGTGAGATAGTGCAAAGTGTGTTCTGTGTAAGAAGTCGTTGCTAGCTTTTAACTTTAAATTTGTGGTCTAGCTCCAGATCCATATTTAGAAAGTGAGAGTGAATATTCTGCTTCCTGCTCAGAGGAGGAGGATGAGGAAGACCAGAAAGAAGCCAGCACTGTTTTATCAGGTCGAAAGACCCCAGCAAAAATGAAGGCTGCATCTATGCCTCCTTCCAGAAACACCCTAGCCAGAAAAATTAAGGAGGACAAGATGGTGAGTGTGCAGAAAATATACCCCTGAGCTAGCAAGTGTGAAGGGATGTTTGGTGCCAGTAAGTGTCAGTGACGTCACCTGTCTGTGGGGAAGAACTGCTAGAGTAATTTCAAATCAAACCAGCTGGGTTGGCTTTTGCTGTACGTCTCAGAAGTCCCTGTTGGACGTGTGAACCTGTGGGCTAATCCAGTCTGTATCCTCAGCAGCTCCAGAAAGAGAAGTTCTAAGATGTCCAGGAGACCTTGTACTGAGGAATGGTGAAGAAATTGACTCCTGTAGCACCAAGAGAAGCACACATTACTTTCTGGCTTGGTGTTCATCATTGTCTGATTTCCTCCCAGCACCAGGGGTGCCCACACCTGCTTAGAATTATTGCTGTGTTCTGCTCTCTCAGAATCTCTTTTCTTGTCTGTGTTGTCAGGAAAGAACCATCTGACTAGGTTAGCTTTGGCAGAATGCTACTGTAGAAGCCATTTTTGCAGATATCTTCTGGCTTTCTATTCATTCTTGCTCTATGTCTCATATTGGCCATCTTCAGACATGTTTGTGGGTGCAAAGGGAGAGGGGTAACTTGATAGCAGGAGAAATGTGGCTGATATTGCTGTCTCTTTTTAGAGCAATCCGGTGGAGGAATACTTTGAAGCTCACAGCAGTTCCAAAGTGCTCACTTCAGACCGAACACTGCAGAAATTGCAGAGAAGAAGATTGAATCAGGTACACTTCATAGTGAATCACACAACTCTCTGAGCTTTTGATTTTTTTGATGAAGATTTCCGTCACGAAAATTTCCTGATGTTGCTATTTTCACTTTGTTTTTGCTGGTTGCGTTCTCAGTGGTAATGCTGATTTAGGTAGTATTTTAAGCATTGTGTCTCCTGCTGCTGCTCTGACCAGGGACAGTGCCCAGTTACTTGAACCTGAGACGGTAGGGAAAATGCAGGGAGAAGGCACTATCAAGTGAGCAGATAGTCGAAAACTGCAGTTGCTAAAACAGGTTTAAGTTTGGTTTTGGGGGAGAACAGGGAGAAGTAGAGTTGTAGAGACCTGCCTTAAAAATTATCACCAAAACAGCATTTTTGTCAATGAAATGCTTAGGAAAATTACAAGCTGTCTTGACTATTTATGTGTAGAAGATACACAGAGAACCTTTTTCATCTGAGCACTATTGGGTCAAGCCACTTGCAGGACTGGGACAGCTTTAAATGTTGTCACCTAGTTTGTGAAATGCACTTTGCCTCTTCCAGTTCCTAGGAGACAGGAATGGTCTAATTGTGGTGACTGAATTACTGTATATATTTTTTTTTCATGCGCCACTTCTACGAGCAGTTCAAAGCAAGCAGTTGCACCCTACAGAGACAGGTACACAAGGACAGGTGCCAGGGAAGTGTGTAAAATACTTGGAGCTCTTGTGTCTGTGACTGCTTTCTGCACACATCTGTGTTTTAAAAGATGGCATATATGCAGACTGCCTGATGCCTGCCATTGCCTGGAATTGCTACCCGGAGAAACATCTGGATTCTTAACAAGTTCTTTCACAACAGCTCTGGAAGGAAATCAAGGCTTTCAGAATTAAATCTACTGCTGGCTCCAAATAAATTGAAGGCTTAGCAGTTCTGTGTCTCAGTGCTTTATGTTTGTCTGATACGTTGCAGCTGTCTGTGTTCTTTCCAGAGTAAACTGTCTTCTGCTGCAAGGGAGTGGAAAGCAAAGCTGTTAAAATTGAAGGAGAAGCCAGTGCAGATTTGATGCCATTTGTCATGCTACTATGCTGTTTAAACATCAACATCCCAGGACGTCTTTAAAGCTGAATTAATCCCCTGATTCCTGATGCTTTTGAAATAATACTTTTTCTACATTTAGCTGTCTGCTGCAAATGCTATATTTCATAGAATCATAGAAAGTTTTGGGTCGGAAGGGACCCCTAGAGGTCATCTAGTCCAACCCCCCTGCAGCGAGCAGGGACACCGCTAACTAGATCAGGTTGCTCAGAGCCCTGTCCAACCTGGTCTTGAATGTTTCCAGGGATGGGGCCTCCACTACTTCTCTGGGCAACCCGTTCCAGTGTTTCACAACCCTCATTGTAAAGAATTTCTTTCTTATATCTAGCCCAAACCTACCCTGTTTTAGTTTAAAACCATTACCCCTCGTCCTGTCACTGTTGTCTCTACTAAAAAGATTGTCCCCATCTTTCCTATAGGCTCCCTTTAAGTACTGAAAGGCTGCAATCAGGTCTCCCTGCAGCCTTCTCTTCTCCAGGCTGAACAGCCCCAACTCTCTCAGCCTGTCCTCATAGGAGAGGTGCTCCAGCCCTCGGATCTTTTTTTTTCAGCCTTTGGTCTACCAGTCCCCCAAAGCCCCTCTCAGCAGGGCTGCTCTCAATCCTTTCATCCCCCAGCCTGTATTGATAGCGGGGATTGCCCCGACCCAGGTGTAGGACCTTGCACTTGGCCTTGTTGAACCTCATGAGGTTCACACAGGCCCACCTCTCCAGCTTGTCCAGGTCCCTCTGGATGGCATCCCGTCCTTCTGGTGTCTCAACCGTACCACTCAGTGTGGTGTCATCTGCAAACTTGCTGAGGGTACACTCGATGTCGCTGTCCATGTCATTGATAAATATATTGAACAGCACTGGTCCCAGTACGGACCCGTGAGGGACTCCACTCGTCACTGGTCTCCATCCGGACATTGAGCTGTTGAGCACTACCCTTTGGCTGCAACCATCCAACCAATTCCTTATCCACCGAATGGTCCACCCATCAAATCCATGGCTCTCCAGTTTGGAGAGAAGGATGTTGTGGGGGACCGTGTCAAAGGCTTTACAAAAATCCAGATAGATGACATCCATTGGTTTTCCCATTTATTTCTTAAGGTCATATTTGTGAGCATTTTCTTGTAATGAGAAACACCTGAACCATTGCTAAGGTTCGGCAGATTGGAGCCCTTGTTTCTGTGAGCAGGGTTGTGGTGTTGGTATCTTCCTGGTACACTGCTCGGTGCTGTAAGCTCTGACTGTGTCCATTATTTCAGTAGTGGTTTTCCCATACTCAGCAGGA